AGGAAGCGACCTATTCAGTTGAGTCCCTTAGAAAGAGCTAGCCTCAATCACTGCCTCGTCCAGTGATTGAGGCTAGCTCTTTCTAAGGGACCCAACTGAATAGGTGTTTTCCTTCACCTGAGGACGGAAACAGATCCAGTTTCCGAAACGTCGTGTTTTTATTTGTTATCTTAAAAACCAGGACGATGGATAAAGTCCAACAACCCAGAAGACTGCTTTCTTCAATCTTTGAAGTAGTTCTCAAAACTTGCTTTTGCAAATTCGTTCTTTCAAAACACCCAAATCATGACACTGTCTTCCCTGTTTATCATACAAATTGTAAATCAAAATTGGCACTTCATTTTATATCATGAAATCATGATGCAGAATTTCTTAAGTAAGGAAATATTTGTAAACACATTTTTAATATCTGTACCAATATTCAGGATTTTTGTAATGGCCTTTCTTAAGTTACTGAGTTACCACAAGGAAATCTGAGATTAGGTGTGTCATTTATCGTGAAGTAAAGTTACTATTTATTATTTTTAATAAAAACATGTGTAAACGGTACAATTTGATGTTGTTATTGTGCCCAAACTCAACATTATTATGGCAATTTTGACAGACTTGAGGCCCAACTCCATACAATCTCAGTTTTGTTATGAGCTGTTCTGAATATGGTGACAAAGCTCAAATCTTACAGAAGAATTCCTCTCTTCCAAAGTGCCAAATACGAGTTACTTGAGCCCTAAACAGTCAGTGTACTAACTGATTCAACTTTAACAAAAATTTAATATTTTTTATAGTTCCATTTTAAAACAGCTTTTAATCCTGCATAGAATTTATCAGGTTCTGTACATCTCTGAATCCGATCTGAATTCATCTTAATAATGCAGACCCAAAGGATTCAGTATAAATATAAACTATATGGCAGTGAGGTAGAATTAGCTGCTGTAGCAAGAAGGGAAAAATATGAAAGTTTGCACCCAGCTGCTGAACTGTCTTCTTGCTGATCACTAAACATATCATTATCACCTTTTTAACATGCTATAGTTCATTTAATATATTGATAGCATCTGTTGAGGGAAAACATCTGCCCAGAACTTATAATGAGCATTTCTGCATAATAAAAGTTACATATCAAGCAGTTAAAGGGTCAAAGAAAAATGTATCGTAATTTTATAGTTCGTAGCCAGCACTGGACAGTGGGACATGATCGATATGGAGCCACAGGACCATATGCATATTCAGGGGACCAGTGGGTTGGCTATGAAGATGTTGAGTCTGTCAAAGAAAAGGTATGTAAAAGTATATGTTTTCAAACTGGCAATAAAATATAATAATAGATCAATTTATCTGTATTACTTAAGAGCAGTTTTCGAACAAATGTAAATGCTGTATCTCAGCTTACATAAATAAGAAAACACTGGAACAAAGATAACCAATGTTTTCTGATATTAACATCTTGTGTCATGTCAGAGAATTCTAAATAATGGAACAAGGCTGCCCCACCCAAATACAATTTTTGTCATGTGTTAAAGACTAGACTCAGGGTTTGGATTGGTAATTGGATCTGTTCAACATGTAGCTCATAACTACAGACGTTTATAACATTATCACTAATCTACATATATTCTTGGAAAATCCTTATAGCACACGCTAAGTCTCAGTTTGTTATGTCTTCACCAGCCCTTTCTCAGTTTCCATCTTCAATAGGCGTCACTAGGTTATGTCTGCTTAACATGAAAA